CTAACAGTGATTCTGGCTCCATCTTATGGCCGATTGAGGAAACAGCAACCAATCACATTTATAGCATGATTTAAAGAAACAGGTACAGCATTGTTACATGACTTATATATTGCCAACCCAACCGTTAGATTATATTTCTAACACTAGCCATGCCCAGTTCCTGCAACCGTTGAGAAAAACTGACCTAAACTGTGAAGGAATTGTGGATAGTGAAATCGAGGATACTTGTAGGGAAGGAAAGGACACAACAGATAAAACAGGACAAAATTGTTTCTGTCCACAGCTGTCCACTGCAGGAGGATCCCCATCTTCCACATCACTCTTATTTTTTTTCATGTTTTATTTATTTTATTTACATAACATTCAAATAGCACCCAACAATGTATGTGATCTGGGTACAGTTATTTTTGAATAATTATAATCCATATATTTATTGTTGTATGCCTCATCAGAATATTAGATATATAATAATATAATAACAATAATACTTAACATCTTCTTTAACAACTCTTCACATTAATATTTCCTTTTTTATATCTCCTCCTTTCTGACTCCTATTTCTATGTCTAGCCATTGATAAAATATACCCCATATCAAAAAATATTTAGTTTCTTCATTATCCTTAATAGTGAGTGTAACTCTAGCCTGTTTCCCCGAAAATAAGACCTTCCTGGATAATAAGCCCATTCGGGCTTTTGAGCGCATATGCTAAAATAAGCCCTACCCCAAAAGTATTGCAACACAGCAGCAGCCATGAGGTGACCATGCTTACCGCCTCCTGCACCTCAAAAATAATAAGATCTCCCCGAAATTAAGACCCTGTCTTGTTTTCTGGAAAACATGGTATCCATTTCTGTGCATTCCAATATTTTCTTAATTACTTTCTCATCTGACGGAATCTCATCGTTTTTCCACTGCTGTGTAAATGCAATTCTGGTTACAGTTAGTATATGTAAAACCAGATATATAGTCTTTTTATCACATTTTTTCCCAACACAAATATCTCTTGTTTCAAGTCTATGTGTTGTTTTATCATTTTTTTCCAACCGTATGTATTTTCATCCAGTATTTTTTAGCTTTTGAGCATGTCCACCACATGTCACTCTTGAATGGGGAAGTGCCACCCCCATCCAAGGTCAAAGTTGGGATTTCTTTCCTGTTGCAACTCTTCTCTTGGTGCTTTCCCCGCTCATTGCAACATCTGCAGGCTCCATTGCTTCTTCCAGACTCTTAACAGCTGCGACACATAATTGGGCCAGAGGACTAAAAAAACCTTCGTCTTAAGAGCTTGGGGGAAAGGGATTTTTGTAGTTGCTGGTTGCTGCCAGTTCGGCCCAGATCAGCCAAACCGGTAGTAGCGGTGATGGGAGGCTCCGCCCACCCGCCTGGACGCTTCTGCGCATGGGCAGAAGTGTCGCGCCCGAGCGCGTGTGAGGCGCGCCCGAATCGGTAGTAACAAAATTGACAACCCACCACTGTTGCTGGATCCTTGCAAGCCAAACCATCCTAGCTGAGGTCCCTGTTTGGCACGAGCATTATTTGGGGTTCCCGGGGGCTCCGAGGCATCTGTCCTTCTTTTCAGAGAACTGGCATCCCTTCCTTTTTAATTTTTTTCCCCTCCTGACTCTTTCCACCCCAGCACAAAACAGGATGATTTCTTCATCCTGCATGAAGCCGAGGCGGATACGCTCCTGGAATCCATCTTCAAGACAGAAGTCATTAGCCTGCTGTGCAAACGCTACGAAGAAGCCACCAGTGGGAAACTCCAGCTCCATTTCAGCGACACGTGAGCAGACCAAGAGGGTTGGCTTGGAAACCTAATTTATTATCTGCTGCTCAGAGCAAAAGCAGTTCCCTGCCTCGACAATGGGAAACAATTTAACCCCCCCCCCCCACCTCAGCTTCTCAGTCGCTGCCGTTTCCCACAGCAACCATCAGCCGGAAATGTGCTTGGTAGTTCCCCCCTCCCTGCTTTTTTTTCCTGCTATTCTCTTAGCTATAGATTCATCAATCTTCAGCAGCGGTGGGTTTGTGGGCACACGCATGCACCCAGCCTCAAAAACCTGCCTAAATAGGACGGCATAGAACCGGGGCAAGTGGGCAGGCCCATCTGTGGTTTCTGCTACACGTTTGGTTGAGCCAGTTCGAACCGGCTGAATATACAATAATACAATAGCAGAATTAGAAGGGACCTTGGAGGTCTTCTAGTCCAACCCCCTGCCTAGGCAGGAAACCTTCTACCATTTCAGACAAATGGCTATCCAACAACTTCTTAAAGACTTCCAGTATTGGGGCATTCACAACTTCTGGAGGCAAGCTGTTCCACTGATTAATTGTTCTAACTATCTGGTCTTCAGGTTCTGCTAAAAACTATTGTATGTATAGTAATCTTGGCAACTGGATTGGAAGTCAGAAGCCCCCTGAGTGTCAAGCCCAAAACCAAGAATGGCGCGTGGCTATTCTTCTGATCCAAGCTCTTTATTATTTTTATACCTATAGACAAAGTCTTGCCAGATGGCGGACTCCGCTCTCTGCTCCTACAATTTACTCTGTGACTTATTAGGGAGGGGCTGTCTTCACCCTCTTTCTCTCACACATATAGGTAGTCGTCAAGTTACAACCATTTGTTCCCTCAATGTTGAAACGGCACTGAAAAAAGAGAGACATCTATGACCGTTTTTCATACTTACGCCCGTTGCAGCAACCCCATGGTCACATGTTCAAAATTTGGAGGCTTGGCAACGGGCATGTATTTATGACGGTTGCAGTGTCCCGAAGTCATGTGATCTCCTTTATAGCCTTCTGACAAGCAAAGTCAATGGGGATGCCAGGTCCACCTCACAGCCATGTTACTAACTTGAGAACTGCAGTGATTCACTTAACAGCTGTGGCAAGAAAGGTCGTGAGTATTGCGTTAATATTGCACTATAACGTAGAATTCAATATAGTTACTGCCCTGGGATAGAAGCTGTTTTTCAGCCTATTTGTCCTTGTTTTTATCATCCTGTACCGTCTGCCAGATTGTAATAGTTCAAAAAAAAAAAGTGCCCAGGATGAGATGGATCTTTGAGAAGGTTTTAAACTTTCTTAAGGCAGCGGGAGCTATAAAGCTCTTCCAAAGAGGGGAGAGGGCAACCCCAATGATCCTCTGGGCAATGACCTTAACCCTCTGGAGC